TAACTAGTTATCCGTCTGACGGGATAACTAGTTATAACGCCTGTAATAATAGACGCGACTCTGAGGAGATGTTTATTACTTTATCACTACATAATTATGTTTACACATTAGCATTAATGTTCTTTTTCCATTCTAAGGCCTTACATTGCTATCCATATTTTTTGTTTTTGTTTTTTATATTTTTGTTTTTGTTTTTTATTTTTAAGTTTTTTGTTTATCAATTTTTTGGTTTAAAAAAAATTTTTATTTTGGTTATATTTGTTGTATATCTTCGTACGTACTAGTTTTTTATATGATACAATTTTTTGTTATTGTTATTGTTAGTACTGCTTGGATGTGTTGTCTGTCTTACTTGTTTTGAAATTTTCCTCTATTAATCTTTATTTTTGTCTTGACAACTGTCAAAATATGCTTTGTTCGATAAATAATTCTTCTTTATTCTAATGTACTTCATTTCTTCCCTCGAGTGTTCACTGCTCGTGTGTGACCATTCGGCGAATTTTATATGCCAAAGTTTTTAAATAACAATCTTTCTTCATAAGTTGTTAAATGTGCTGTTTCTGCTGTCTCTTAGATGCCCTAGAGTTATTTAATTGTGACTACATATAATTATTCATGAAAAATTTGTGACAGTACTTTTTTTTTGGTTTTCAACAGTTATTATATGATCTTAGGTGTATATTTTCATTGAATAGAGTTTTGAAAATTGGACTAAAACATTTACCATGACTATATATATTTTTTTTCTCAGGCTACAAAAAAAGGCATAAAGGGATTATTCCTAAGTGCCAAATATCTGCCGAGTTAACAGACTTTTGGCACTACTTGGGAAAAAAGATTTGGCACAGTGGCTTATCTGCTACAAAGTGGCAAATCTTTTCCTAGTGTTTTTAGATCGGTAATATTTTATTTTGATACCACAATTACTATCCAAGATTTATGAACTACTTTTACCATTCTGCAGCCGTTTTTCAAAACGCCCTAATGTAAAAAAAATCAATTTTGACTTTTTTATAAAATAAGGTAATTTAGATGCTTACAAACGTTATTGAATAAATATTTCTGAAGAATTATGAAAAAGTTTATAAAAATTATTAGTTTCAAAAAACATTTTATGAAAAGTTTCTCCTAATAATTTTTATTAATTTCGTTTTTCTCGAAATACATAATAAGCATCTTAAGGCATTTTGAAAAATGGCTGCAGCATTACCCACACTTAAATCAGGGATTTTATATTATATAAGGACACTTTTATCTGTATCTAAATCTGTTTATTTTCTATTTAACACTACATGTATATAAAAATTGTTAATATTTATTATCTCATTAGTGTTTATAATAAATTTTGGGGTTGGAAGACATTCTTTAATTTAATTATTTTTATTTTCCTAAATTAATACATAAAGGTGTGACTTTTCACACTTTCTCAATTACCAAAAATTAAAGTATGTATTTTTTGACCCATTTTAACACTAACAGTTTTTTTTTTTAAATAAATGAAAAAAATGAAATTGTTTATTGTTGTAATAAAGTCCTTAGTGTTTAGATAGTACCTCCCGAACTTAAGCTCTCATTTTATGTATGTGCTTCCTCCTCTTCCTCTCCCCTTCCCTTTTCCCTATTTATATAGCTATTTTAATATGATGTTATCAATGCTTCATGGAATACTAACATGAAAATATATGTGTTTGTGTATATAAATAACATACCCAAAACTATTGATAATAAATATAGGCATTTTTCTTAAAGCAAAACGCAAAGCTTCTTCTTCTCCAGTGAAGAAAGCAAAAAAATCAAAAAAAGTCAGTGATGGGATTAAGAAGCCAACATCAGCATATATATACTTTGTATCTGATTATCGATTGGTTTTAAAGAAAAAAGGTAAAGCTACTAATAAAGTCAATGAGGTTGCGAAAATGTGTGGTACAGCCTGGAATGCAATGAAAGAAAATGAGAAAGCTCCATATTATGAAAAGTACAACATAGATAAAGCAAGGTATTTAAAAGAGGTAATTTAATTTTTTAAAGAAGTTATTGATATAGGATCATTGCATATATTAGATGAATTTAATGAGTTCAATGAAATTGTATATGTTAATTTTACATTTATGTTTGTATGTTTTTAGAAAGAAGCACTAGATAAAAAAATGGGAAAAGATCCTAACAAACCAAAAAGATGCCAAACTGCATATTTTTTTTTTCTTCATGATTTTCGAGAACAAATGAAAGGAAAAGCTTTATTAGAAGGTGAAAAAATCCCTGCATTAGCTGGTGAGAAATGGAGATCAATGACTGATGATGAAAAAAAAGTATATAATGATATGGTTCAGAAAGACAAACAAAGATATGAAAAAGCAATGGAAGAGTGGAAATCAAAAGTAAGATTCAATTTTTTTTTCAACTTATTCCAAAATATTAATTTTAGGTATAAAAAAAAAAGTAGCATAAAATGATAATATTAACATTAGGGTTATATTTTTGTTGTTTGTTTTCATAGGTTGGCCTTTTCGAAAATATATTAATTTAGGTTTGAAGTTGCAGCTAAGAAGTCATTGATTTTATTTGCTTTTCTGTAAAAGGTCATCATGCATGACCTTGATTACACTCTTTCAAAAAGTTAATAAAACCAAATATTTTTAGTAACTTCTATGTCTAAGTTCATCTATTTTTCATAGGGCCAACATGAAATCAAAAAGTTATAGCCATAATCAGCATGCAAGCTATCTTTTATGGTTAATTTGTTAAACTGTTTAATAATTTTTTATATTTAGAATCCAGACCAACCAAAGAAGTCTGTGCCTAAGAAAAAAATTGTTGCAGAGCCAGAAGAGGAGTCATCTGATGATGTTGATGAATCAGAAGATGATTCTGAGGAAGAAAGTGAAGAGGAAGATTCTGAATGATCTTTTCTAATTGTAAATAGTGCCTGCCAACAAACATTGATAGCCAATGAATTAAGGTCATTGATTGGGCCACTAAAGCAGTTATATTGCTATCTTCTGAAGACCCAGAGTACTCACTGGTTTTCCAGTGCAGCGTGTAATGGAACAGTTTGTAGTTTTAAATCTTTTACATAAATTTTATTTTCCAGTATCCTAAAACTTTAGAGAGATTGTTCAAAATTTGAAATTTTAAAGAAAAAATTGCATTATTTTACCAATTTCCAATGGAGAAGCACTTGTTTTATATTTCTGTGCATTTGATTAAGAAGTTTTATTTATTGTTTCATATTTTAATCTTTATGACGCCATGTTAAACGTTGTATAAGAGGAACTTAGTAAATATAAAAGGATTTACATTTGATTAGAATAGTTAGCAAAAGCTTTTATTAAAACTGCATGTAGTTTTCATATCAAAGAGTTTGTGTGCTTTTTTACTTTATATGGGTTATTATAGCCAGTTATTGTAGTTAAATAATGTGGAAATAAATGCATAAACTAAAATAAAAATATGTATGTTATATATATTTTTTTTGTTTTTTATTTTTTAATGTTTTTACTTTAGAGTTGATTTTTTAGGTATTGGTATTACTGTGTAAGCCGTGCGAATTTATCACGTGATTTCCCTCGGACTTTTAGTGGGAATCCTCTTTGTTTTTGGAAACCACGTGAGCTGTTCGCGAGGTATTTCACAGTTCTTACTCAACCAGTTATTTATTGAAGTTGAATTATTTTTATAACATTCTCTAATTTACGACAAAATAAAACTTGTTTATGATTTTTATTGAGTAGTCGAAATACAAATTTAAACGTAGTATACACTTTTTTTCTGTATCGTTTCTTAACCCTTTATATAATATTAATAAGACTAATCCGGTTAATTGTTAGGAAATATGAGACTAAAAAAAGGTAAATACTGTTCTAAAAAATAAAAAAGTATAAGCAGTTATTAACAAAAACATGAAACAAGGCATAATCTTAAAATAATAATAATAATATAAATGCCGCGACATTTGATAAATAAATATGAAAAAAACGAAAATTTTAAAACACTGTTCAGTAATTCCACATACCTCGATGTTTTGCTTTTATCGAGGAAATGCAGTTTTATAATATTTATATGTATAAAAAATATTTTAAATTTATATTATTATGGTAAAAAAAATGTTCTTTAGGATAATTTTTTATTTATTTTTTACTTTCTATTTTACAAGTTATTGTACAATTAAGGTGGTTCCCCTAGAAAAAAAAAACATGTTTTTGAAAAAAAAAAATCAAAATGCCATTCTAATACTCTTTCCAATGATATACTATTTGATGGGTCTTTTAAAGTATAAAGATGAAAAATTAAGGTTTTTGAATATGGGTACATTAAAAATGTCCATAACAATGCCTTAGCAATACATTTTGTCTGTAAATATTTGACAAGTTGACAAAAATAGGTGGTCTTTCTTTTGTTTTTTTACTCTGATACTAGAAAGGACTTTATGTTCGGTAAATTACTCAAATGTGTGCGGAATTAAGTAATGAAACAGAAAAAAGTTAATGAAAGTGATTAGTGTTTTAGAAAAAAGTTAATGAAATAAATATATTTTGCTTGTTGGCAAATGCTATGTTTGTTATGTATTATCAATATTTTTTATTTTGTTTTTAATAAATATTGTTTCTAGATAATAACAGTTTCAAGAATAATTTGTAATAATTAATAATAAGTGTATTTTGAAAAATATTTTGTAATAATTAATTTCAAGTATTTTCAAGAATAATTTGTAATAATTAATAATAAGTGTATTTTGTTCTGTTTTAAAATATTTTGGAATTTCAAACGGTTACTGTTTTGACCAATTATCTGTTAAGAGAGATAAAGAATGTATCGATAAGAGCACTAAAAAGACGAATGAAAAAGGAGAAATCAAAAGAAAAAAAATAAGGGCTGCTAAAAAGGGTTATATTGACCTAGAAAAAGCCAAGGAAAGTTATTTATCTGGTGGATTTTAAATTTGTATAATTTTTTTTTTTTGTATTTAAGTTTTTAAATTGCATTTTTGGCGAGATATGATTTTCATGCTGTTTTAAGTTTTTCAAACCTCATATTTTAATATATATTAAACTTAATCACTTGAAATTTTCATTCTTTATTTATTTTAATTTTTTTCAATTTTATATTGATATAGAGGGTTTGAAAAATGTATTTTTTACGTTGACCGCCATTATTAGTTTTTAAGCCTGTATCTAGATTTTTTTTTTTTTCGCTTATTCCCCTTACATATATGTAATTTATCATTGTACCAAATTTCATCTTATATACATTTGTTGTTTTAAAATTATTGTCTCTCTCATTTTGCTCATGAAATAGTAAAAAAATGCTGACTCAGCTTTAAAAAATGCCTATTTTGTTATAAAACTAAAATTTTTAAATTCGCATTTATTCCTAGTATTAAAAAATTGATATAAAAACAATTCGCTATTGCTGTAAAAGAAAATAGTTTTTTTCTAGGGAAACCACCTTAAGAGCACCACGGCGTGACAAATCGATGTCGCGTTGTGACGCGCGTATTTTAAGCTATATCTGTAAAAATATTTTTAAAAAATGAAAAGATTAGTTTTTATAATACAGTTAGACTATTTCTATATCATAACAATTTTTTTATTTTAAAAAGCTAAATACCGCAAACTTGTTTTCTTGATTAAAAACACATTAATGTGTGTCATAGAATTGCTGTATTACTCAAGTGTCAATTAAACAACTTATGATTAATTTATGTAATTATCATTCTTTCAAATTTTAGCTTTTCCAAATTTCCAAAAAGTTTAACCCGCCATTTAACCCTCCGTCTCCGATTTTCTTCAAACTTTATAAAAATGGTCATCTATATTACATAGACTACTATTCAATGTTTCAGTTCTGATATCAAATGTTTTGGAGAGTTACCTATAAAATCGGATATTTTTCAGCAACTTTTTTTGTTTCGCAGCCATTTTGATTTTACTATAGTTTTTGTTTTGCATGTTACTGTTCAACTATACATAAAATTTAGCTAAAAATTGGCATCAGTTTCAAAAGAAGAAATCAGAATATGATATTTTTTTACTATGAAAACAATTACAACTATATTTAATTAGAACTGTATACAATTAATTAATAACTAATTAACAAAATAAATAAACAATTAGAACTATATATAATTAGAACTAGCGCACTTGCCTCAGAAACGTAAGATCCGTGGTTCAACCCCCACCTCTGGGCAAGTTTTGCGACATCGGTTGGGAAGGAGGCGTGAACTTCCTATTAAATGCTCTTCCGCGGTGCTCTATGATAAGACCGTAAGGACTTCTTGGGGCACCTTAATCAACTTAAAAAAAAAAAAAGAACTATTTCTCTCTCTCTATATATATATATATATATATATATATATATATATATATATATATATATATATATATATATATATATATATATATATATATATATATATATATATATATATATATATATATATATGGTCATCTTCATAATAAATTATTTACAATACATTTTTGAGTTAAGATGTGACGGGAGCTGGCATAAGACAAAAGTTTTATCATTCAGCCCCGTTGTATCATTTACATATTTAAAAAAAATAATCTATCATATAAAAAAAAATTATTAAATAAATCTCAGTAAAGTAATATTAAATACTTTTAAATAGAAAGTGTTATTTATTTATTTTTTATTTTTCTTGAATATAATACAGTTTAAGGAAAAAAAAAAAAATTTAAAGATAAATAATGATGTAAATGGTGATGTCGCTTTTTAACAAAAGGATAAGTTAAAAAATAAAAGAGAATAAAATAAAATAATATAGCCTTCAGTAAGTTATTGAGAATTCGGATTGTTTTAATAAAAATTTTCGTACCTGATAATTAAGCAACGAATGCTTTGTTTGATATTTATGATCTATAATAAATAAAAGGTCTTTAAAATTATTAGGCAGCATATGATATTTTAATCTAACCATGAATAAGAGAATATTATAAATATTTAATTGGTAAACATTCAGCACTCCAAGCTTTCTAAGCAGTGGATTAGCACTGGTGTATTTATTAGCATTTAGTATAAGGCGACTTGCTTGTTTTTATTTTTTTCAAGATACACGTTAGTCTTGTCAGATAAGTGCTTGCCCATGCAATGTTACAATAACTAATATAGATATGAATAAATGAAAAGTAAATAGATTTTAAACAGTTTTTATCCAACATATATTTAGTTTTATACATAATTCCATTACTTTTTGAAATTTTATTTTCTATTAGAATAATATGCTCTTTCCAACTTATTTGCTCATCGATTAAAACACCTAAGAATTTAACACAGAATGTCCGTTGCAATTTGGTTTTTTCTATTGAAATATCCGAGCGTTTTAAGGGCAACGTGTTAGATCTAAAAAGTTTATAAAAGAGAACATATTTGCTTTTGATAGGGTTCAGAGAGAGTTTGTTGGCTTTAAACCGTTCATTAAGGTTATCAAGTTCACGATTCATTGAGGTAAAGATTGCTTTAATTTTAGAGTGAGTATAAAAAACTTGAGTGTCGTCAACAAAAAGATTGAAGCTTACTATCTAGTAGACAACAGTAAATATGTTCTCTTTTATAAATGATAAGTAAATATCCTTGACATAAATAATAAACAATAAAGGCGTTTACAGTCCACGTTTACAGTCATAGATGATCCATTTTTTATGTAGTTTTGTCCACTTCAGCATTTTTGATATTCTCATAATTTTTATTAAGCATTTTAGTCAAAATACTTTTTAAATATTTTAATAGCGCAAAAATAAACATAAAAAGTACTTAAATGAAAAATAGCATTTTTTTAAAAAGTTAATGCCATTCGAATAATTATGAACGGTAGTGTACATGTAATGTTTAGTGTTAATATTAGTTGTATTATTAAGAGGCTGTAATATAAAGAGAGTGCCAAAGACTAGGTTTTTACAGTTATTTTTAAAAGTATTTAAAAATTAAAAACTTAATGTATCAATAACATTATCCCAGTGTAAACTAACAAAATGTGTGATACATAATTTAATTTGGACGTAATGACAAAATAATAATGTGCTTTTATTAGGTATGAAACATAGTTTCACAAAATAAGAATTACACTTATTCGCTTAGCTTTGAGCTTGATGTTATTCTATGTATGTTGTTTATAAATCTTCAAAAACTCATGCATGTTGTTTAGAGAAAACAATCAACATTGACTTGACAAAATAGCTGACAAAACTATTGATTGACATGACACAATAATCGTGGGCAATGTCAAGTGAGCTCAATTTCTTTTTTAATAACATATATATTTGCCTCTATATATATATATATATATATATATATATATATATATATATATATATATATATATATATATATATATATATATATGTATATATATATATTTATATATATATATATATATATATATATTTATATATATATATATATATATATATATATATATATATATATATATATATACAACTGGGCTCATGTCGAAAATTATCAGATTTTACATTTTAATGCCTATCGATGGAGCTGCTCATTGCCCATCTAACCACTGGTCACATGATTTCAGCAAACCAAAAGCCGAAGTTCGAAAAGTTGTTGACAGCGCGCAAGTCGGTTGGCCTCGCAACACCGCACAAGTGTTGTTAGCTAAGGGACGATATGTAATGTAATATAATAAAAATCACGCGTATGTAATATTATTTTACTTTTCGCAGTATTACAGTCAAACTTGCATTAAATTACTTCATTATAATTTAATAATTAAAATATAT